TTTAAACTTTAAAAATTTTTTTGTTAAGCCCAAATTCAAATTTTTTAGCTGAAAAACGCATTCTTAACTTTGGAAAATCAAAAAAAAATTCTTAAAATTAAAAAAGTAAAGAACGGGCTTCCTAAGGGCTGGTTTTTTTTTAATTCTTAAGCGAAATGTAAAAACAAATATAAAAATGGAAATCCAATAATTTTTGGCGGTGGTAAAGAAATTATTCGATGTTATTTAAATAACACTCAATAATATACAAAAGGTTTGAATTAAATCCATCTTAACAGTTTTTATAGAAAAAATCAACAAAAAAATTACAAAATAGAAAAAAAAACAAAATACTCTTAAAAAACAAAAAAAAAAAAAACCCCGCAAGAAATTGAAATTCTACAACGGGATTCGATCCCCGTACCGCTTAGATTGGTAGTCAGATGTCTTATCCACTGGGCCAAATGGCTAGCAGTGCTGCGGCCGAATAGATTCCAAGTAGAATCGAGCAGTGCGGGTTCTACTGTTAAAATGCGGGTTCCACCGCTAGAACCCGCCATACGACAGACTCTTTTGTATGACATGTCCTCTCTATATATTTATACTCTTTGGATTAAACCCACCAAAATAAAGAGAGAACGTTATAATCGGCTTGGTGTCCCGACTATCTAATACCCGTCACTCAGCTAAAGGAATTGCGAGGGAGATAGATATAAAAAAAAAATGTTGATTGCGCATAACTTTTTAATGAATGGTCCTATTTGAAAAATGTCTTCTACATTTCGACAGGTATAAATATACACAACAAAATTGCATTTATACTTCTCGGAAATTTTTAAAGGTGTGGACGCCAGACACATTTTAAAATCGTTATTGGGCGTAAAACAATATTACCAAATTCTTAAATTATTTTGTACATCATATAATGCAACTCTTTTTCTTTTTTACCAGTTTCCGTTGTGGCAAATCCGGCTATTTGTGCCACCATCACCAACGTGGGCGTTTTGTGCGACAGCGAGAACAACAGCGGATCGTGCAGCTCCCACGAGGACTCGGATGACTTTGTGCTGGTGCCCAAGAACCTTCCGGAGGACCAGCGCCAGGGTCTAGCCCAAGTCCAAGCCCAGCCCGCTTCCGGTGGCCAGCAGCAGCAGCGTCCACAGCAGCAACAACAGAATCAATCCAGTCCGCCACGTCCCAGCAGTCTGCCCATTTCGGAGCCCAAGCCAGTGCCGGCTCCGGCCCGTCGCCAGGTGGCCCAGAATGCGGCTGGATCTCCGGCCAGGCAGGCCGCAGGTTCCGGGCCCTTGACGGTGGCCACTCTGGGTGGCCAGCAGATACCGCGATCCCAGCCGATCAGCGTGAAGCAACCGCGTCCGGATCAGCGCAAGAGCAGTGTGAGCAGTGACATCAACTCGATCTCACCGCCGGCGGTGCAGTTTGCCATTGGAACGCCGCCGACGCGCATGCGTTCCGCCTCGGGAGGATCGCTGTCGGAGACACCGCCGCCGCATGCGCCGAGCACCTGGCAGGTGTCGCCGGGCCACTCGCAGTCGCCGTTGCGCCGCAGTGGCAACAGCTCTCCCATCCTGCCGTCCGCAGCGCTCACCAAGCTGCCCACACTGGGCAGTCCCACGATGCTGGTGGCCCCGGGATCGCTGGGTTCGATTGGCTCGGCGGGCAGTGGATCGGAGAACAACAATCAGCATCACATGCTGGGACCGCGAGCTTTCACGCTGCCCGAACTGGGCGCCACCGGTGGACTGCACAGTCTGCTGGACACAGGAGTCGCCGGCGGCGGCGGTGGTGGTGGCGAACCACATGCATTCCAGGCCCCCGAGCTGTCGGAGGAAACGCTGATGGATCGCGAGCACAACGAGACCCTGTCCAAGCTTAACTTTGTGCTGGCCCTGACCGATTGCATCCAGGAGGTGGCCGACTCGCGCTGCGCACCGCTCTCCACGCTCATGGTGGCCGGCGGTCAGTCGGCGGCGGCGGCGGCGGATGCCCAGCAGATACCGCCACATGCCCCGGAGCATTGCAAGCGGGCGGAGCGCCTGGTGCTGCTCGTCCGTGGACTCCAGCTCCTCTCGTCCGGCATGAATCTGGCCTCCCAGCAGCTGCGCAATGGCCAGCTGAAGCCGTCGTCCAATGTGAAGAATGGTGAGTGCAGGGGTTTCTTATCCAGTGCATGATTTTTAATAATTTATTTCGCTTAGCTTTGCTCACCATGAACGCCAAATACCGGAGCATGCTGTTCGAGTCGAAGCGCCTTAATGGCAGTGGACTGTTGCAGAAGGCGAATGCATTTAACATTACGGCGGACAAGATTCTCTACGACTACGCATTGGATATGGTAAGGATTACAGCAGATATATAATAAATTCCTCCAATTAATAAATATATTTTTAATAGTGCCAGGCGGCTGCTTTGGATGAGCTACTGAAGAACACCAAGAATTGCTTCGAGCGCTACAACACCGCACACATTCTGCTGCATTCGTTGGTGCAAAAGTGCAATCATCCACAGGACAAAATGCTGCTGAACAAATGTAAGTGGGAAAAACAATTATGTAGTTTAATAAATAACTAATTCATAATACTTTTCAGATCGCGATGCCGTTGAGAAGCGTTTGAGCATATTGCAGCAGCATGGCTACATATACGTGACCGATGAGAATGCTTAGATAATTGGGCAGACAGAGCTTTATTCCAACCATGAAGCACCGGCAATCTTCACAACCATCAACAACATTTCCTTAAGTTATTCACCGTTTTCGTTGGGAGTGCAAACATGTGATTGAAGCAAAAACTACACTATCCATACACAGACATACCGACAAATAATTTAAACACCATCCCCCTCATCATTTCTGGCGTTCTCAGACCCCCGAAAAAACTGTCCAATGTAAATAGTTTGAGCTATGCTGATATATGTAGTTTTTGTTTTTTATATTATTTTCGGCCCGCGCGGCAACCATAATTGTTAAAGCTTATATCGAGTGCAGATGCAACATGAATAAGGGCAGATAAGAGTCCATATAGTCGTAAGATAAGCGTAATATTATATATATGTTTACATATATATGTACAACACGAAAGCTAACCAAGCAAATAACATAAAAAGGGCAATATGCAAGCCAAACTCAGTTTAATTCTATGTTTAAAGGAAGAAGCGGCGGAACCCAGATCCATATATCATGTGCTACAATTTTCCCCCGTAGTTTTAATGCCTACTTTCTTATTTAACAATTTAATATTCCTCTATTATAATATTACAAACATACCATACAATATTTATGGCTGCACTACACAAACATGTTTACAATGTGCTATGTTCATAGTTTTTAGTTAGGTCTTTTCTAAAACAACTTTAAAGAGGTATTTCATTTTATGACAAGAAATTTATATTTTAATGAAACTTTTTAAGTTTTTCTACAACCGAAGCCCACAAAACTTTCGAAAAAATCTATATATGTATATGGTATACAAAAGAGAGAAACACACATAAAAAGAGTGTATAAAACGGAAAACAAAATACCGACTTGAACTAATAAAAAGTAATAAGAAAAATAGTAAAAAAACGTGGTCTTTTTGGAATTATATAATGTCAATGTGGACGACTGTGTTGCCATAACCATAACCACAGAAAGGTGATCTTAAAATTGGAAAAATTAAATAATTGGCCAGCTTTTGGGAGGCATGGAAAAATCGTCATTTTATTCGCAACTAGTGAGCACCATTAACGCCACTCTCGAAATCAGTTTCGATCTATTTCCGGAGAAGAATGGAAATGTCCAGTTGGTTCCTGATGTTGCCCAGGGAGCACGCCCTTCCTCGAGCTAGTTTCTACTTCAGATTCGGTTTATACAGGCTCATAAATGGCAGCTTAGTTCAGTGGGAAATAAAATCCTGCAAGGATTTGTGGAACAGTCATTTTATCCTACCCAAAAGACACTTTTCGAAACTGATGTTTATCTATTTAAGTTTGTTGGCGACCGTAGATATTTTTCAGATCATTGACTTGGCGGATTTCCAGAGGAAACGCATCTCAATCCAGTGACTTGCACCTTGTGGCCACTTTTGAACAATCACAACTCCCCCAGAAAAAAACTCGCTTTGTTTTTTCTTCTTTATTGGTTGTAAATCATCGTTTAATTGCAACAATTGGTGATATAATTTAGCGTTCCGATAAAAGTTCGTTTGTCGGCTTTAGTTTGCAACTAAAGTTCAATTGATAGATTGAAGAAATCATAGATTCAACTGCCAGACTTTGCTTCCATTGAGCTTGAATTAAAATTTCGTTTGTTGCGCGCTTTTGAAGTGCCAAAAAATCATCGAAAAAATGTTACATTAAATTGTTCAACTCGTATGTATCTTGTATCTCTTAAATCACATTGAAAACATGCTTCTCTTTTAGCTCTGTTAATATTATAATCGTAATTATTATTTTTTTTGTTTTGTTTCTGAAAAGTACAACGTGCACATATCTTAGTAGTTGAATTAGTTCATAATATGTTGTTTGCTGGCTTCTCTAATTTCTCGCATTTTGTTTTTTACAATAAGTTAACGTTTATCTTTATATTTCCCCTGCAGTGGGTTTTATCTTCTTGCATAGGCAACTGTTGTTAATAATATTAAGGTTTTCTAATGATTTATATTCCGTCTTCTGTCCGTTTGTCCAAGTTGTCCAGATTTATTTTTTTGAAAAATGATCCTTGACCGAGTTAGATTTAAAACGAAATCGCTTCGTTAGTCGTCGCTTAAATAGTTTTCGTTTTATTGTTTAGGCCGCTTAGCATAGTTAATTAAGATCTCCTTTGCGCTTGTTAAAGCCGATTCCAATTGGTTGGTTTGTTACAATAATCAATTAAGATGCATTTTGAGTAAATTATAAAAAAGAGTAGAAAAATCTAATAGATATCGTTACTTCTGGATTTTGTTGTTTAGATTTAGATTTAGTTTCTTTTTCGTGTTTGCAAAAAGTGCTATTCGCTCAAAAATTATTACATGTTGTTTCCGTTTTGTGTCGTATTATAGATCTCGAATAGTATAAGTTATCGCTTAGCATTGATCGAGTAGCGTTTTTGTTTTCTTCACCTCCCTTTTCACTCGCTCTGGAGTAAACACATAAATTTAGTTCTGATACAATTACTAAAGACATAAATGAACGCATTGACTTAAACTTAAACGCAAATGGGGCTTAGTGGGGGATGCGGGGTAACATAGGTATCGCTTATAAACATAATCTAGAAGACTGCCTGTCTATTTGTAAATTTCCAAAATGTCAAAATGGGATTAGAGTTGGATTAGTGTTGGATTAGTCTCGCGGTTAAGTGTGGTGTTGGTGTGCATGTGTTGTTTCAGCTTCCTGCAATCCGCTGTCTTTATGCCGTGGTGGGCGATGCGGCCGGGGTGGCGGCATTGGTCAACTTGGGCGGATGGGTGGCGTTCACCACGCGATTCGTGTTGTCCAGCGTCTTCGAGTGCTGCAGCTGCATTAGATAGTGCTGCTGCGTCGGCTTGTGCAGCGCCAGCTGCGATAGGGCATCGTCAATGGTGAACCACTGCCGCTTGCGGCCGATGCTTCGCGAATCCTCCCACTCATCCAGTTCCTGGGTCACGTTCATGACGAACACCTCGGTGCGATGCATGTGGTCGTTGTTCTGGAAGAGAGGATCATAGTTTAATCAGTTTGGAATAGCTTAATGAAGTTAAAGGGCCATATACCCACCTCGAAAACACCTAGACAACGACCCAAATCGCCAACGACGCCGGCTTCCTCGAGCACTTCCCGAACGGCGGTCACCGAAGGCTCTTCCTCGGGTTCAACACCTCCACCAGGAACGATCCACAGCTCCGGGCGACGAGAGGAGGTAACCAAGAGTACCTGATTTGATTTCGAAAAATTGGGAAATTATTAAAAAATCGTAGGAATTATTATTTCTATATCTTCAACCCACCTCCGCCTCATTTTCCGACTTCACGCAAATACAGGCTGCACGTCGCCTGAAACCATCCTTGTCGTAGATACGAGTAGAGTTGGGCTTCTCCTTGACCATCTGGAAACGAGAATAACAACATTAAAAGAGTCGCACTGGTGGGCCTTAAGTTAAACCTGCCTGATAACTCCCAATATTTTACCCCCTTATGTACACGTTCAAAAATAACAATCGCTGATAAACCCTAAAGCTCTTCATATATCATTTTATAGCTTGACGCCTTTAATTTGAATGTGCGGCACATGAAAATCGTGATTCCGGCCTTATCAGATGCGAGATTGTCGGGCCATCGGCAAATTGCACCGCCTGTCCGTCCGGCTCTTATCACATATCAGCCGGTCTTTCTACGGCGGATAGCCGATTGTGTCCCTCATGAATGGTATATGGACTATTTTATGGCCTTACTTTTTACAACCGCTGTGGGGGATGGTTAACTGGAGAGGTCTATCTGATAGACTCTATCAACTAGTGGTTACATGAAAGATCATCGATCGAAAAGTTTATTATAGAAAATCCATTGAAAAACTGTTTAATCCGATATAATATAATAATTGTAAAGTGGCCATTAGGATGTGGAAAGCTAGTTTTTCAAGAATGTTCACTATCAGACATTATAAATACTTTTAAAAATACTAAATTTTTGTAAAAAGCTGTTTTTTTTAAGAATGATATTAGGAATGCTTCTAAAAATACTAAAATTTTTTTGATATTTTTGTTAATTTTGATGAATAATTCGTCTTATTTATCTACATTTAATTTAGGAACAATTTGAATAAGAAATATTTGCAAAGCAATATTTAAAGATAATAATTCCACGGCCATAATTATTTTTGATGATTAATTTAGTTATTATTAGATAGTATTCAAATTCTGATAATTTTAATTTTTAATTGTCTGTTATACAGAGTTTTAAAATTTAAACCAAATTTACCAACAAAATCTGATACCAACTTTGGGGAAGAATTAGCTTAAAAGGGATATTAGATAATCCCCATTTCTTAAAGGTATCAAATTGGATATTATCTATTCCTATTGGATTGTTTCCATTGATAAGACCCCCTCTACATAACATTACCACCGATTGGTTACTTTATAGGGTACTTTCTAGGTCTATTCCACCCCACTCTTTATCCGTGAGCTTACTTTTGCAGTGGTATTCGCTGATAGCAGATGCGTTGTTGTCTTCCTAGGCACTTTTCCCTCCTGCTCCTCGTCCTCCTCCTCTGTTCACCACTTCTTATCGCTCTCTTGCCCCTTCTCCTCTTCCGCTGCAACAAGTGTGGCGAGTGTAAGTGTGTGTGTGCCTCGGTTGTTTGTGTATGGGAGCCGGTCGCTTTTGCTTCTTGCGACTTTCTGCTTTTCTGGCGATCTCGTGCCGCTTTTTCGCAGGTGCTTCTCGGCCACTCTCTTTCTCCCGCCCCCTCCGCTTCCGCACACAGTGGAACACAAAGGGAAATGGCGAAAAGTGCACAAACAAAATCTAAAGACGACAATTTCTGCGCTCGCACGTCACACGAGACGTTGTGTTGTATTGGTGATTAGTGTTCGTGGGCCGTGTGGTTTTTGTTGTTTTGAAGTAGTAACGAAAAAATAACTGTGTGATGGTGTGGGTGGGGAAAAGCGAGAAACTGAAACTTGTTGAAATTATACGAAAATACAAACGAGGAGAACCGAAATGAAGAAGGAAATAAAGCGCAGACAGGGCAGAATTGAATTATTTAACTACTTTGCAAATATTGCATGTTGTTGTTGTATTGGTTTTACACGGGAGAGCGTGTGACGCGTTTGAACGTGTGTGTTTGCGAGTGAGAGTAGCTTTTTCCTCGACTCGACTCCTCTCCTCTCTCTCTCTTTCTATCTTTGTCCTCAAACTTGAGATCCGATTGGAGATCTCAGCTCAAGTTTTCGCTATTTCACAGCTCCTCTTGCGCCTTTTTCGCCGTTATCCCAGCGACACACATGCACACATGTTTTCGCTTCCCATTGCCTCCACAATATGCGCGTGTTTTCCGGCTGCTCGGCTTAAAATAAGCAAAGTGAAATGGCACACGGCTGCTGGAAAAGCGGAAAACGCGTGCTTTTCACCGTTACGTCGCGAACGAAGCCGCGCGGCCTTTTTGGTGGGTGGGTGGTTGACCGATTTTATATTATTTGTTTTTTGTGTGCGAAAACCCGTAGGCACAAAAGGTCCTAAAATTGGATGTGGTATTTTTGGTAGTATATAAATACCGGAAAATCCCTGCGAAAAGGTCCTAAAATTTCGATTACTATCTTTATGTTATCGATGTTTTTATCAATTTTGGAAACATCGGTGTTTGGTTTTTGTCTTCGCTGATTGTTTTGTTTATCGATTTTGATTTTAAAATCGATTACACTCGTTTAACAGCCGAGACACACGCCATAAAATCCGTTAACATTAAAAAGAATTCAACATTTTACCAAGAATATCAGAAATTTTAACTGATTAAACTAATAAAAAGCTAAGTTAAACCTTAATTAAATAGTTTAAGAGATGATTTCTCGTCCTTATGTTAAACTTAAAACTTTAAACTCAGAGTTCCCTACATTTCCTTACTTTAAATTTAACGTGTTCCCTACATTTCCTTACTTTAAATTTAACGTGCGGACGAGAAAACGACCTTTTTAATGATTTTTTTTAGGATTTTAGTAGGTTGTTCTATTTAAAATTGTTTAAATCGAAACATTTATTAAAAGAAGGACAAGTCCTATATTATGTAAATAAAAATACAAGGTGATCTACAAATTTTTTGAGAAGTCCTTTAAATCGTCTTACATTGCAAAACTAAGAAAACGTTTAGAATTTAATTAAATTTAATATTTAAAGCTTAAATGTGGAATGTACAACATTAACCTTAAGTTATCTTTAAGCATTTGAATTCCGCATACAAATCCGCATGATTTACAGGCTCGAAACCCCAACGCCGCCCGAATAGTCGCACATTTTTGAGTCGCTGCCAGGAAAATTCGGTGAGGAAACTCGGGAAAAGGGGGAGTGTAGAGTGGAGGACTTTTGGGACAGGTCGAAGGGGCTGACTTTATGACCCAGGCGCAGGAGCACCGAGTTACCCAAAAATTTGTTTCTTGTCCTGTTGTCTTTTGCTGTTTTGCTGTCGTAGGTTTTGTTGTAAGCTTTTAATGCAACTACTTAGCATGGAGGATTCTCGGTGTCCTTGGCTCGCCTTAACCTTTTTCCGGGGAAAACTCCTCCCCCGATTGGCTCCTTTTCGGGCTTTCCTTTAGCTTTCCGATCTCCTGGCTCTTTTTGCTTTGTGCAGGCGAAGCAAATTGGTTATTTCTTAATGCATTTGCCATTTCCTTTTTTGGCTTTTCTTAGACAATTTTCCCCCGCCGCTTGAGTCGCATGAGTTATGGCCACTGTTTCCATTTCCATTGCCATTTTCATTTCCATTTTCTTTTGGGTGACCATGCAGAAGTGTTAAGCAGTTTAGCGCGCTTTTTTCATGGACTTCTTCTTGGGCTTTTTCTTAAGCTTTTTCTTCTGCGACACTTGTTTCGATGTTAATTCTGCCAAATCGATCGGTCGACTTCCTCTTCCTGCCCCGCCCACTTTTCCGGACGGGGAGGCAGAGGCGGCGGCACGCCCTGCTGCACATAAATTCAATGTCATAAATTTGGCAAGAGGCGTCGCTTTGGCTACCAGAAAAACTTTGCCTATTTGATGCGTTCGTGTGACCTCAACCAGATAGAGAGCAATGAAATCAAATGTGGCCAGGAGACTGGAGAAAGGAGGGTGGAGGGGATGGTAATGGACCACCAGGAATTCCCAAAGGGTATTTCCATGGGGGAACAAGAAATGGTAGTTTTAATAGAGAGTAGTTTCAGTTTAACACATGACTCATGCGTTTTACTTTTGAGGTTAAACAATAAACTTCAGCTTAATTAAGGAATTTATTCATTAAAACCAAAAAGCAGACATTAAATAAAATATGTTTATTTCAGAATTTATTCTATATAAAGTGACCGATACCAAACGATTTTACCTGCTTTCTACCTCTATGGGTTCTTTTAATTATATTCTTTTCATTCGATTACTTAAAATTTATTCTTTTAATAAAAAGCTAGGGTTTTGAAATCGCAGTAAATAAAGGATAGTTTCTTCCTGTATGAATTCCTATCAATTTTGGCTTAAAAATATAGTGTTGCAAAAACTCCAACAATTATATTTATGAAATTATGTGTGTAATTTATTGAGCTAATATTAAGTACATTTAATACCACTAAATTAAATTTAAAAACATATCTTAGGATTTGTCTACAAGTTAACATATTTTTTATACATTAACATTGACCATATAATAATTGTTCCTTATATTGGAAATACATATTTCCTTCTATAAATTAAATAAATATTTCAAGATTGAATTTGTATTATATCATTAAATTTAAATATTTCCAAATGGAACTAGACTTAATTTGTGCGTTTTGGTGGGTGAACTTTGATCATTACCATAATTAAATGTTTTTTAGGAATATACATTTATCTCATTTACATTTTTATTGTAGGGGTAATACCTTTTTACACTCATTGAATGAAGGAAGCGTTTTTTTTCCCAAAACTAGCTCCAAAATCCATAGACCAAATCAAATTGCACTTATTTTCATCCTGCCTTCATTTATTTTTGTGTTTCGACATTTCACTATTTTTTCGTGCTTTTCCTCCATAAAATTGTTTTTCTTTCCATGTTTCTCTGCGCTTTTTTTTTAGTACGTTATCCTGCGGCTGTTGTGGTCAACGCTCGTTCGTCCTGTCTACTGTCATTGTCGTTTTCCACTCTTTTTTCCTCTTCCATTTTTTTCCTTTTCCAGGGAAGACTCCTGACCACGTGGCAAGGATACTTCATGAATTTAAATGAACCCGATTCCCTTAAGTTACTGTTAATTGAGCCGGCAAATGGGATTCAATGCGAAAGGACTTCCCAAAGTTGCTGACTCCTGGCGCAGGTGTCGCAATCTGTCGTTAATTCACTAATCCCACCAATGCCACGCCCCTGTCATCGGGACAGGGCAACTTTGGCTCCGCCGCCCCCCTTTTCCTTGGCAGCATATTGTTTCATTTGAACTCGGAGAAAGGAGATGCTGGGGAGATAAAGGACATGGAGTCACCTACAAACGCAATTTGGCAACAAAATGCACCAAACAGACAAACAAAACAAAAACAAGCAACAAACATGCAACAAGAACAACAGCAATGGAGTGCCCAGAATTATACAATTTATGCGATTTACGAGCAGGCTCCTTCGCCTCCTTGCAGCCAGTGATGCTCATTTATCCTTATTTAAAATATTTTATTTTTAAAAAATATTGAATATAAAAAAAATATTTTAAATATAAAAATAAATATTAAAAAAAATATTATGAGAATATTAGAATGTATTATTAAATTAGTACAATATATATATATTTCAAAGACATCATTTAATTTCAGATTCATGGATATTAATTATTAGGTCCCTTTTTAAATTATAGACATTTATTTAAATATTTATAGGGCGTAAGCAGAATATGATTCATAGATACAATGATATCGGATTTTTATATCAGACTTGATAGTAAATATTTATTATTCATAACTTTGATATATTTAAGAAATGTATTTAAGTGTTCCAGTGGCCATATGAACTATTAATTTAACATTTTAAATTTTTTTAGCTAATTAAAATAAAGCCATTTATTTAGAATTATTTTATTTTGACAGGTAGACCTGTAAATTGCTTTAAATTGTTTAACCTTCTTCCGGATTTTATTTTATGCCATCACTGCTAGTCGGGAGTCCTTTGTCCTGCTTTTTTTACCAGCGGGCTGGAAACTATTTCTATTGCTGCGGCGCCGACATCGCCTGGGCAAGGATATGCCGTATTTCCGTTTACATAATAAATTTGCTAACCACGTTCTGTCCTCGTTGTGTCCTCCCCCTTTTCCTCTTCAGCCCTCCCACCCGCTTTTCCTGCAGCTTTTCCTCCTCCAAGTGAAATGCGGCATCGCCACCAGCGCCGCCATCGCTTGGCATCAAGTGCCTTGTGGTTTTCTGCATCTGAGGATGGGGTTAAAGTTGAGGTCGGGGCAAAAGAAAAAATATTTAGACAGCCACCGCAAAAGGCGAAGACCTCTGCGATTTCTGCGCTTTATAAACTTTAACTTGCTAAAATGACTCTGGCTGCTGTGACAATTGCTAGCTTTTTGCCTTTTTTTGACGGAAGTCCGACGGCGACAACTACTTTTGCTTGATCACTGGGCGGCTGCTGGTCCGGTGTGGCCTCTAATTAATCTATTAAATCGAAACCACAAACGAGAGTCCAATGCGCCTACAAAAAACCAGAAAGGAAGGCTTTTAAGGCATAACGAATTTTTAAATACTTTATAAAATGTATTTAATACTTTCTAGTATTAACTTTTAATAATAAACATATGCTTTGTATTTATACCCTTGCAGAAGGTATTATTTTAATATTATACTTGTTACCATTTTTGTAAATAATATAAATTTTATAATATGCTATAAATGTTATAAATATTTAATTTATAAACATAGAAAAGGTATGTAAAATAAAGCAGAAATTAATTATTTAATAAAATTCACATACCCCTTATCAAGGGTATGAATAACAATATATATCCATCATTGAGGAAGTTGTCTCCGCTGGGGAGTTGATTTGAATTGGCCCCAACCCGATCCGTCCAGTGCAACCCAACTGGCCGCTTCCGTTTTCCGCTGGAAGTGAAATCTGTTCGCGGCGGATGCCATAAAAATGCCAACTTAGTGGGCAGTCGCTTTGGGGCGTGGCCAGTTCCCAGTACCCAGATCTCTCCTCTTCCCACACAGATAGCTCCATCATGGGATCCCGCTTGCAGAATCGAAACCCAGAACCCAGAACCCAGCTGTCCCGGGGGTTCAACAACCGATCCTGGCTGAGCTGCCGTTCGTTCTACTAATGGCTTGCCACACTTTACATTAGCGTCACAATTTATTGGCCGACTGCTGCGCCGGCGCAGACGCATCACAGACATTGCAGCTGCACTGCGGAAAAAAATTATTATAATTTGTAAGAAAAGTAGTAAAATTAGGTTACCGATATTAAGATAGACTCAAAGACATGAAATTGAAACATATACGAAGCACAAAGAGCTGAAGGCCTACAGCTGCTAAAGCTCATACCCACTGTTAG